GATTCTTAAGAGAGAGGGTCAAACAAGAGAGGACAATGTTGGAATGACAATGGACAAAGTGCCTGAGATGCATACATGAAGCTTTAATGAAAGCCACTATTTTGTCTGTTCATTCAAACAACTCCCCAAGCAGCTTTGTGATGGTGAATTTACAGTAGCTGATTTACTACTGAAGGGACAGCAGTAAGGAGCAACGCTTGAAATGAAATAACCTTAAGAAAATGCCATTTCTGTGAAAAACTTGCATTTCAAGTAAAAAAAAAAAAAACCTGACAAGCTCAACAATTTAAATGAGGAATACCCACTTAGATAGAATGACAGAACACTGAAGGTGGACTGAGTTTGATCTCAGAAGAGGCCCAGGAATAAATGATCCCTCACTCCTTTAACACCTTAGAGCACAGCAAGGCATTAGGAAGCAGGAACTGGGCCCACATCAGACCAATCTCCAAATTTAATCACCTTGTACTTCACGGTGTTTAGTAGGACAAAATGTTTTGGTTATTTTATAAGCTATTGTGTTATTTATGGCAGCAGCCTGAGGACTCAATACCGAATACCCTTCTAGTTTAAAGTAGTTCCAAGAAAAGGTGTGAATACTGAAAGAAGTATGTCTCAGCACTAAGCTTACTCTTCAGTAGGAATGAACATTTCCTTACAGTGGATACTCTCTACTTAAGATTGTTCTGCCACAAAGAATGAGAGCTTTCTCTCCCAAATCAGGAGACACTCCATGAATGGCATGCTGCTGTACCCAGTACTGCTGGGACACTGTGACAAGGAAGTCCAGCATGTAATCACCGAGCACCAGCATGCCATAACTGGCAGCTTCTGCCAGATTCAGAACAGCTCCTTGGAAGAGAAAGAACAATGACATATGAATGCAGTTCTGGTTAATAATCTGGTAGTAAAAGTCCTTATTATAGGAATTTATGAAACTACAAAGCTCAAAAGCAAAAACAAGGCAGAAATAAAAGTGTGGAATTTTTCACAATTATGGTCTATAATGTATGACCTTGTTTTTGTAATACTTTAAAACTTAATTTATCTAAGATTTGATATAATTCAATGAGACTAGTAGTATTTTGAGACAGTTTGGCCTATAGGTTTAGTTCTTATCAATTGGCTGATGTTAAAATTATAAGCAAATGAAAATCTCATTGATAAAATTCAGCAAACCAGAGTCCCACGACGTCAAACATTTAAGAGCTGGGGATGGACATGGTGATGCAGGACTGCAATCCCAGCTGTCAGTGTGGCTGAGTCAGGATGGTCTAAAGTTCATGACATAACTGAACTACAGAGCAATTTAAAGCCAGGTTAGGCATTTTATGGAGCTCCTCTCTTCCCTGAATCCCAAATTCATAGTGCAGATGGGGGAAAAGATGCGTGTGTGTGTGTGTGTGTGTGTGTGTGTGTGTGAGAGAGAGAGAGAGAGAGAGAGAGAGAGAGAGAATAAGAATGGTACCCATGAGCAAGCCTAAGTGAGCTCAAGGACACAGTTTAGTGGTAGAGCGCCTGTCTACCCTGTACAAGACTCAGACTCACCCTTCCTACCCCAGTACTGGTGGTGGTAGTAGGGAGTAGGCGCTTGACATTTTTTGTAGCATTGCTATTATAAAGACTATTTCATTTTAAAAATATTTATGTCTGTGTATGTGGAGCTGGAGTTACAGCCATTGCAAGGTGCCTGACACGGGTGTGAGGAACAACAATGAGGTCTTCTTGAACAGTAGGGAAGAGTTCTTAATCACCAAGCCAACTTTCCAGCACTATTTTCTTAAAAAAAAAACAAAACAAAAACCCAGCTACATGTCTTGAGCTAGTATAAAATAAAATATCTGACATATTTTTATGTTTTACATATCATGACACCTGAAAACCCATCATTTTGGCAACAGTTAACTTTAGAGGTCTGATAATTGTGGGATGTGTACTTTTTGGACAAATTAAGCAGAATTAGGACCTACTCCTACTAATTCACAACTTTTAGGAACCATGGAGGAAGGAGAAAGGCAGTGAAGGAAGACTTAGACTTTTCTGTTTCCATTTGTTTTGGTTTAGCTGGGGGTTTGCCTACGTGTATAGCTTGCCAAGGACCTTGCCACTGACAAAGTTTTGTTTTAGAAATGGCCACAAAAAAACACGTTTCACTTACAGATGTGGAACATAAAATGACACACTTGCACTAACCCCTTCTTCACTTACTGGACTCCCAATTCCTGACTATATATTAGGCAAGTATCTTAGAAGAAAACAACATGGTCCTTAGATGGATTAGAGGGACTCAGTCCTTCCTCAGATACCTTTTTTGATAAACATTATTAAATAATGTTAATGATAGGTCTTTACTGTAAGCACCCTTTAATATTTACTTTTCTTTTAAATGGATATACTATTAGAAACAACGCTGATTTGATTGACAATCCTTTGATTGACAGCTGTCAAACTTTCCCTGTGCCTGGGAGAGGGAAGCAGGTGGGCCACTGGGCTGTCAATGCAGTAGTCCTTTTGGCACCTAGCTAGGTAAGAGCCTGCCTGCTTTGATCACTGCAAGGACATTTTGAGGAGACTATACTCTGGTTGAAGAGAAACTGAAAGTGAAGTCCATGATTCCTGCTTTACAGGTCTTTCCCCGGTCACCACACTTCTTTCAGAGATAACCTGTACCAGCCTTGGAAAGCAGTACTCCAGGCAAGACAAACCTTGGTGAACTCTGTTTTGGTGTACTAGGGATTGATCCTGCAACCTTGTGGACCCTAGGCAAGTAATTATCACTGAGCTACAGTATTCTTAAGGGGTGATCTCAGGCAAACGGTGCTGTCAGCATCTCTTTCTTAAAAAAGAAAAAAAGACTTGGCACAAAGTAGCATAGAATAAGTATTGAATTAATGAAAGAATAAACCAATGGATAAGTCTGAGAATTATATAGAGTTTGGCAAGAAAGGATTCCTCTATGCAGCCCAAACTGGCCAGTTTGTGACTGGGCCCTTGGGCTTATGAATGGTGGAACTGGAAGCTGTGTTGTGATTACTACAACACAATCATTTCTTCACCCTTACCTCCTAGTGTAATTAGGGTGTTTTGGAGTCATTAGGCCCAATGAAGGATTTCTCAAATAGTCTTTTAATGCTTTCCTGGGATGTTTACCATGGATACAGTGGGCAGAAGTGGTAACAGGAAGAGGAAAAGGCAGCTCCAGCTATAAGAAGCCATGGCAAGCGGTAGCAGCAGCCAAATAGTGGGGACAAAAGAGGATGGTCATGGCAGTTAGACCATACAGACTGCAGGACTGTCACAAGGCACCAACACCAAGAGCCTAAGGGTTATAATCGTAGCTCGTGTTCATTGCTGTCAAGTTATTCAGAGGGCCAACTGTTGCACTTCAAGACTTACAGGCCACTGGCAATCAAAGCCAGAGTAATAAGTCATAACCCAAATTCTTAGAACTGTTTGATTCTGGTCAAGATTTGGTAACATATACTCTAGTTCTCTGGTTGGACATATATAAACCTCTGAAGTCTGTCACCTCAGCCTTAGCAACTCGACTTAGCAACCATGTCTTTCTTCCATTAGACTTCCATCATTACCAGTGATTTTCATCTTGGTGGATACTATTCAGCTTACTGGTAACTGTGCAGCACACAGACACGATGCACTATATAATGTAAACCAATAGAGTTGGAGAAGAGAAAGAGGCACACGACAGAAGAAATGCTACAGAAGAAGCACTAGGTACTAAGCAGACTCTTGCAATGGGAGGAAATAACGGGTTCTTCTCAAAGACTAGAGCCCCAGGATTAATATCGGTTTGCCAGGTGTTTCCAGAAGCCATGAAACAGTCTCAGAAAAAGTAAACTTTTATGACTTCCTGAGGTGTGCGACGTGGTAAGAAAAGGGTCATTTTCTAAAACCCAGTCTCTGTTGTACTTACTCCCTGAGCCATGAACTTCAAAAGCAAGGTCTTCTTAGTGCCCTCAAGTCCATGAAACCAACATCCCTCACAAGGAGATGACTCTGAGGGACGCAGGATGCCACTGCAACCTCAAGCCCACATGTGGGGACTGCTCTTGGACTGGACGGCGACTTCTCCAGGACCGGCCAGATACCTGGCTCGCACTGCCCCTGGGTCCCCCTCGCCCAGGTGAATGTGAGAACGAGTTTCCTCGCACTGAGCCCGCACTCCAGTGGCGTCCCGGTGCGGTAGGATGCGGGGAAATCCGGGCCTCGCCTCGGATGCCTGGTCGAGCACCCCGGGGCCCCGGGAAGCCCAGAACTTCCCGGCGGGAACGCTGGCCCCGCGGCGCGGGCTGCTGGGGATGGTGTTCTCGCGAGAGGAAGCCGAGGGGCGCGGGGCAACCTAGGGGCGAGCGCCCGGCTGGGGCTAGGAGCTGAGGCGGCGAGCGGGGCCGGGGCGCGGGGAACCCGCTCCCGCCAGTCGCGGAGAGCCAGCCCCTGACGTCAGGAGTTTTCCTCAAAGTCAACAACAAGCCCCACAGCGGTGGCAAGGCGCTTCAGCGGCGGCACCCCGAGGGAGGAAGGAGGGGGCGGGGAGGCGGCTGCCAGGTCCCTGAGGCGAGGAGAGGCCGCAGTCCCGGGCTCCGGGGCTCTGCACGCTCGGCCCAGAGCTTCTGCCCCGCGGCCCGGCGGCTCGCCCCAGCCCCCCGCCCGAGCAGTGTTTTCTAGTGATGAATCGAATTTGTAGCCGACATCCGATTCCCAAGTAGAGTCTCCGCCTCCTCCTCCTCCCCGCGCCGCCGCCGCCCTCCTCCCTCCTCCCTCCTCCCGCCGCCGCCGCCGCCGCCGCCCGCTCCAGCGCCGCGGCCCGCCCGGCCGGCTCCCTCCCTCCCTCCCCTCCCTGTAGCCCTTCGTCTCCCCTCCCGCCGGTGGCACAGGGCTTCAGGGGACCGCAGGCTCAGCGGGGTGGGGGGGAGGACAGGAGGGGAGGAGGAGGGAGGGGGACCCCCGAGTCGCCCCCTCTCCTCCCCCCGGCCCCCCCTCTCCATCCTCCGCCACCGCCGGAGCAGCTGCGGGGCCGCCACCGCCTTTGCAGGTAACAGCCACCGCCCCCAGCTCTCGCCCCCCTCCCCGCCTCGCCCGCACTCCCCGAGGGCCCCTCGCCTCCCTCCCTGCCTCCCTCGGGCGGGGGCGTTGGCGGCGCGGGTGGGTGAGGCGGGGGCGTCTGGGTGTCACCGCGGCCGCCGGGGGCGTGGGCGTGGGCCGGGGTCTCCTTCCTGAAGCTTTGGGGGCCGTGGGTGTGGAGGCGGAGGCCGGGGGATGCCCCGCGTGGGTGACACCTACACCCCCTCGCTTTTGGGGGTGGGGGAGCGGCGGCGGTGCGCGGGCGGCCAGGGAGGGGGGTGTTCCCGGCCTAGCAGTACCGTGAGCTGTGCGGCTGGGTTGCCCGGCCCGGCGCCTTCGGGCTCTGCACAGCTCGAGCCGGGTCCCTTCGCCCTGCCTCGGTCGGCCGCGCGGAATGGGCAGGGGGCGGCGGGCCGGGCCGGGGGCCAGCGGCGAGGTTACGTAACGCGAGCGGCCGGTGCCGAGCCGGTGTTTGGGTTGGGGGGAGGGGCCGTCTGCGCATGTGGCGGGAGTGCGGGCGAGGATGCACCGGTGTCCCCGGGGTCTCCTTCCTTAGCCAGCTACCCACCCCACCCCACCGCACCCCGCCGGCGCCCGGGAGAGGACGGTGCTGATGGGGTGCGGGTGTGCGTGTGCGAGGTGGGTAACGTGCGAGTCTGTGTTTTTAATAGTAGTGGGGTTTTGATCCGCTAGGGAGTTGTGTGCTAAGAATAGAAATGTGCGGAAGATGCTGGGTTTGGCTGATCTACTGATGCTGTCGCTGCTGGCGGCGGCGGCAGCGACGGCGGCTCTGGCTGCAAGTAAACAAACCAGCTTCTTCCCCGTTCACCTCCTCCGCCTCCTGCGCATCGGTCTGCATCAGCCATGATGCTAGTGAGGCCCCTCGGAAGCCCGAAGTTGAAGCTTAAGCTGGTGGCATCCAAAGTCCTGATGCTGAGGCGCGGTCGACCCTTGTTTGGGATTTTCTGGGAATCTACACTTAGGTTAGAGATACCCGAATCTCTTTAGGGCCAGTTTTATTTTTTTTTTTTTAAACAGTAGTAGTGTTTACTGTTTAATCTTTAGAAAACAGAAAAAATGCTTACCCGTTAAGTCAAAGCTTGGATTCTCTCAAATGTCTTCATCAAAATAATGTTATGAACATAAAATTCATTTCACAAGTATAGTATATTTTGGCTCAAAGCATTGATGGATTGTAATTGATAAAGTTTACTGATAGAAATTCAACAATAAAACCTGTGTATATAGATTAAATTATGTTACTAATAGAATCAACACACTTGATATAGAACAAGGACTTCGTATGTAATAAGTTGTCAGTTGTCCCAAATCTTTAATTTAGACATGTGTTCTGTATTTGGTAAAGCAAAGTCATTTTTTTGCTAGAACTATAAATTTCCAGGCAGTCACTGAATGTTGTTTATGGTAGGAACTCATTCATTATATTAAGTTCTATTTGCATGTAGGAAAAAGTTGGAAAAGCCAAAAGTAGAAGAGTCTAGTAAAGATGGTTTAGTCTAGTGAAGATGGATCTGAATATTCCAGAAGATAGGATGTCTGAAACATGTTTTTTTTTAAAAAAGTATCTTCATAAATTGTTAGTTTTCTAGAATGTAAATTACCAGATACACAGTTAAATTCAAGATACAGTTCAAGACTCAATTTTGTTCATTTTGTTAATAAAAAATTTTGATTCTGTTTAAAGATAGCTTTTTAAAAACCAGAGATGATCCTAGTATCTATAGCTTGAGGTTCGAATTTAAAGTTAGGGAGAGCATATGTTATTTTAATGTTTGTGTTCTGTACATTTGTAGTAGCATAAAGATACCTAATCGAAAGTAATACTACACAAAATGAATTTGTTATTTACGTCCACCATCTTCTGTAATGGTGAATGAGTAGTTTTCAACTTAAAATTATTTTTTCTTTAATCTTGACATTAGTTTTGCATTCTATATGGAACAATACTTGAAAATTCTCTGGATTTTCTATTTTTTGTAATTGTGTTTATCATGATTTTGGAATAGAGGGTCTTCCTGTGTAGTTTAAGCTGCCATGAAACTCACTCTGTAGCCTAGGTTGGCTTGCTAGGGATTTTCCTGCCCCAGCCTCCTGAGTGCTGGGATCACAGGTGTGTGCTACCATTACAGGCTTGTTTATGTGATTTTTCACCTAAGATATTTTAAATAAAGTTTCATTCACGAAATAAACATTAAGAGGAGGAGTGTGCTTTGGAGGAGTAAGGTTTTTGGCACTTCATTCAGAAGGTCACCGCCTTAAAGTTTGTTTTATAGAATCACTGCACGTTTAAAGTCTTTTGGATAAACTTCTGGAACAAATGTTAGCGTGGATTTAAACAGTGTGAGGGTTTAGGATTTTAACTCTAGGTTTCGATTTTAACATGGAAGTTTCTAAATGCCTAGGCTTCTTTCTAAAGAGGAATTTGTTTCATACATTGTTGTAGAAGTTTAGCTTGTATTTAAACTTTGAATCTTTTCACAAACTGATAACTAGTTATGATTTACTTTGTAATACCCATTAGTTCAAGAGTTTGTCCCTGGGATGATGATTCTTGTTACTGTGTTAATTGGATCAGAATTGTGATTTGGTTAGAGCTTGGCTTTATAGTGATTATGTTCATGTCATCACAAAGCAAACCATTTGGGATCATTTTAGATGTGTACAATAAAATGCAAGACAAAAATACTTTTATTTGGTTTATTTTGTAATTTGACTTGCATTTTCAAGTTACTCTGAATTAATAAGACAGATATTCTTTATGAAAGGTTTGTGCTTAAATCTTAGAGTAATTTACAAGGTTGCTGCTGAGCTCCAGACTTCAGCATCTGCATCTGTATTCTTACTCTTGTTTTAGTGCAGCATACTATTGCAAAGGAAGGCTAATATTAACAGATGTGTTATTATAGTTTTTAACATATGATACTTAGATTCAGTTTCCAACTGAATTCTAGCTATGTGCCACACCTTGCTGTATGTGGGTCAGGAAAATCTTGCTGCAATTTTGAAAGTGAATTTCTTATGAGAAAACACTATACAGCACAAAATTGTTTTATTTAAATTTTCCTATTCAATATACATATATGTATGTATATTCCAAATTTTTAATTTCAAATACATAAACATATATCAGATGTATAGTATATGATATATTTTATAATCTATACTATAAGTTTCACAGAATCAAGTTTATATAGTTTTAAAAGCTATATTGATTAAACTAACATCTCTTCCATTTTAGTTGTTTCAAATGCCAAACTATGTCAACTGTTTACATATCCAATAAGAGTTAAATTTATTTCTTCAATAAGAAAATCTTCAAATAGTAGTTGGTGAATAAATTAGCATATGTTTTTTGACTTATAAATATGCTTTTAATTCTTAAAAGCTATTTAAATATATTTAAAGATTTATTGCCAACTTTAGGAATTTTGTATTTCTGAATAGGTATTTTTGCTTGTATTTCTGAAGGGAGAGTAAAAAGGTTTACTAGAAGAAAACAGAAAATGTTCAGATAAGAAAAGCCTCTGACTATATTTGTGTGTCTGGGGGATTTGTCAGAAAGAAAGGTAGAATTTAGCCAATAATGGAGTTTAGCCCAGATTTGTCTGAGTTGAGTGGTTACTTGTTGTTTTGTATTAAGTGTGTATTAGAATTTTATGATAGGATCTATACATAGTCATGATAATACTATATGTATTATCTATAATACCACTATAATACCACTTCTATATGAAGTTGATTGTTGATTTCAATGTAAAGAATCTTAAAATTTATTGGCTATGAAAGAGCTATGAAGCATCTAATGCTGCATTTTCTTCACAGCTAAGGAAATTGAGACAGAGTTGGCAACAGTTATCTAAGTTTGTTGGTCTGTCTGGTGCTCTTTTTAAAGGAAACTTTGAGATGAACTTTATTAGGGATGCTAATCCTGGAGCTGTGTTGGAGGAGGGAGTCTGTCAGTAATTGTTGGCATTTAGTTTTTATGTGTGTGTATTAAACATTTTATTTTATAGTTTGAGAGGTACCTGAGGCAGAGTTTGGAAATTTTTGTGTATATTGAATTAAATGGCCAGCAGAGCCAGTGTTTTGTAGTCCTCAGCCTCATGTGAGGTTATGTAACATTTTACATTAGAAATTAAGGGACTCATTCAGCAACAGCTTGTCTATTGGTTTATGTGAAGCTGAGGATAAGCATTTCCCCAGTGTCTTAAATCAGAATATTAGATATATGACCTAGCACAATGTTGGGTAGAGATTGTGCATTGATGCTCTAAGAGAAGGAAAAGGGGGTAGTTCTTTGTGTTTTTGTAGATATATTTTAAAGTGTGATTTTTAGGAGTTAGCTAACTTTCACATTTGAAAGGTCTGATAGTTTGCCTAAAATTTCCAGGCTTTAGAAAAAAAAAATGCCCAGGGAGTTATTACTGTGTTCTGAAGAGAGGCACTGTTAATAGGGTAGCAACTCCTAGTTAGGACAGATTTACTTCAGAAGTATTTAAGGGACAAGCTGTCTTGAATGTTGTTTCCACATCAGTGTGATCACTTTCTCACATATTCTTTTGAAAACTTGATCAGCCTTGTGTATTTGTCATGGCATAGAAATTAGTCTTTGGGAGGGGGATTAAACCAGAGTCTTTTGCCATAACCTTCACAGCTCCCTGCTTTTATTTTGAGCCATGGTCTCACCAAGTGGCTGGGGCCAACCTTGAATTTACTATACGGACCAGAAACCCTCCTGCTTCAGCCTCCAGACTAATGGGGATTACAGTCATGTGCTACCATTCTGGCTTAATTTTTCTTGCAATATACTTATTGAAATGTGAAACTACCATAGAACCTAAAGTAGTTCCTCCTGGTCATCATTTATGTTTTAAAATATCAATTTTATTTGCATTAGTTTCCTTAATTAATCCAGTTTTTCTATCATAAATAAAGTCAATAAAATTGTAGCACAGAACATTACAGCTAAAGAGGATCTATAATTTAAACTTATTTTGGATTTTAATTTAGAAATAAACATATAGGAAGCCGTGTTTAGTGGGTCATATCTGTGATCCCAGCACTTGGAGAGTTGAGACAGGTTCAAGGACATTTTAGGATATATAGATACCTCTGGGATATTGTGGCCTACATGTCTCAGAGACCCACTCCCCACCCCCACACTGAGGTAATTAACATTTAGGAAGTTACTTACATGAACTTCACACTTGTAGGAAAGGGTGCTTTCCAACCTCATTTTAATTTTATGTTATTTCATTTGCGATGGTTTTGTTTATACTTTAGTTTTATTCATTTTTGGTTTACTTCAAAACATTTTGATAATTACATTTGAGAGTTTATATTTAATACGAAGCAGATGAAGCTGATTACTTTAATTGCAGGTGGTTGATCTTACTGAATGTCCCTATGTATGGTAACTATGGGGAATATTGTCTTTGTTTTTGGCTACAATTTTCTTTCATAATTAAGAGTCAAAGTAATATAAGTGAAATATCTTGGATAACAAATATATAATCAGCTTGGAAAATACTCAAGATGTTTTTTAGTTCCTGTCTCAGAGTAGACAGAGGTATTAACTTACTAAGTTTCATATTGTTTTGAGTGATAACCTAAACCATGTTTGATACTTTATTATTGTTTTAAATTGCATGATTGGTTGCTGAAGTCTTTTGATAATTCTTTAAAGCATCAGTAAGAAAATACTCACTTTTTCCTTTTTCTTCCCATAATGAGTAATTTTGGGTACCAATGAGGTTTCTTTTAGTTAGACTTAAAAATGGATAATCTCAACAAAAAGTGCTTTAAAATGTCAAGAAAAAATAGAGTAGTTTTAATGTAATCTAATCTTTGCAGAAGACTATGAAAGGCCATAGGGAACATGATTTAATATATGGGTATTTTAATTATTTAGATATAATACTTCCATAATATTTAAATTTAGTTTTATTTTAAACATGGTATCATGCCATTCTTTTTTGTTTTTTGTTTTTTTTTTTTTTGTTTGTTTTTCGAGACAGGGTTTCTCTGTGTAGTCCTGGCTGTCCTGGAACTCACTTTGTAGACCAGGCTGGCCTCGAACTCAGAAATCCGCCTGCCTCTGCCTCCCAAGTGCTGGGATTAAAGGCATGCGCCACCACTGCCCGGCTGTATCATGCCATTCTTGTTGTTGACTTACTAAACTTGTCTGCTTGATTTATTCTTTATTATCTAAAGCTTTTGCGTTTTTGTTCATTCATCTACTCATTCACTAATTCTTTATTTGTTGAATAAGTGCCAGACACAAATTGCTTTAATAATTTATGTTGTGATTTGATGAAATTAAATATGGGAAGTGTCTTGTACATTATAAAATGATATTCAAATGAAATTATCAAATTTTATAATAGTGTATCTATCATGAATGAAAATATCTTTACTATTCAACCGACTATGAATTTTGTGTGTGACTTCTTTTTTATAGAATGATAAAAATTAGATTATCTAGCACTGAAATATTTAATGCAGTAGACTTAAAAATAAGCCAGATTTTATGTTGACTCACTGGAGAGATCATATTTCTACAGAAGTTACTGTGGAAGGAGGGTGAAGCTTGCTTTACCATTAGAAACAGGTGACAACATGTTAGTTCATCTTGTGACTGAATGGAGAATGTAGATGACTGGAACAGGAGCATTGCCACTTAGAAATCAGTATGTGTACTGTGTAGGAGCCAATAGCATTGCTTTTATATATAAAAGACAACATCTACTGCTAAACTAATAATTACATTTTAAAGTTTTGTTTCAAGATGGTATTGTTTAAGCCATTAGACACAGTAACAATTTTTTAAAGCTGAAAATTGTGATTATGGATAGAATTTAGTAATTGCTTAAGATAGAGTGGAATAAGACTACCTCTAATACTTAGGTTCAGTGACCTTGATAAAGTTTGTTTTAATTTAATGTACATGTAAAAAATACAATCCTAATATATAAGCCTCCCCCTCCCTCCCCCCCTCTCAGAATCTAGTTTTCAGAAACTGTTCCATTATAAAATAAGATTAATTAATTTTGGTGGATGGATATGGTTCAATTTCAGGAAGACTTACATTCTCTTAGTGTTCTTCATAAGGATATTCCAGTATAATTTACTTTAACTGGAAGTATCTCTTGGATCTATCTATTTACTATACCTTTACTCCCAAGAATGATACAGATTTTCTTTCCTTCAGCTTATATATTTTTATATGGAAGCAGGGTGAAGCTTGCTTTACCATTAGAAATAGAGAGAGGGAGCGAGGGGGGGAAGAGGGAGAGGGAGAGAGGGAAAGAGGGAGGGAAGGAGAGAGGGAAAGAGATACCAATCTTAACTAGAAGAGATGGAGCTCATTTGTGAAAGTATACCAAAAAGAAGAGCTCAGTACGTGACATTTTGCACCAGTCTTTTCCAGTAGTTAACTTAAAATTCCTTATGCACTATATGGAGTTAATACTTTGATTTTTCTAGCTCTATAATATGTAGTCAGTTGGGTTCTTCAGGATATGATATCAATCAAAATAAAATGATATTTTAATGCTATACTTTAGAGCTTTTATTTTTTCTGTTTATACTGTTTTTAATGTGAAGTAAGTATTTTAAATAATGTGACTGCTTACTCTGTCAGTATTCAGTGTGAGAATTATTGGTAAATTATCTCTTATTTTAGAGTATATAATGTTAGTAGAGATATTTTATGGGAACAAAATTGTAAAAGCTTCCCAAACTTACTTGAACCAAGGACTTATTTTCTCTAACCTCTTTTAGTTCAACACTATCAAACAATCATAATTTTGGGAAAGAGACACATATTACAGTATCCCTCTTTATTTTGCAGCAACATGTTCCCATGATTATGATTTTGGGTAGTCCTGTCTCTGCCTTTATGTATTGTGCATGACATATTTGCAGAACCTGTCATAGGGTGGTCTTCTGTGGAGCCAGTAGCCTTTGTTAGATTGTGTAGAGGATGTCTAGTTGTGGTCACTGATTGATAAGTGGGTAGGCTTTGCACATAATTTGTATTGGGAGAGGACTTGTAATCTAGTTCAGTACTATCTGGGAATTCAAGCTCAAATTTAATACTATGCACTATTTATGAAGGTCCAACTTCATAGAATATTATAGTTAGTCTATGTACCTGTTTTTTTTTCTGGTTACTTAAAATTTATGTTGTGTGTCACTTAACACTGGTGTATCTGGTTAATAGCTTTGCAAATGTGGAAGCACTTTCACAAAGATTTGTGGCAACATTTCCCCTCTTAAATTGGTAGGGACAATAATAGTACAGTTCATTAAGTTTATTGCTGTGTATGTAAGGATGCCTTGAAGAAGCCTTTTTACTAAGTCAACATGTAAAGACCTAGGGGATAAATTTCTAGTTAATATCTTAGAAAACACTGTACTTCTTCTGAGCAGTTTTTGTCTGCTTTGCATTACAGACATTAATACCGAAACCTATTATGTTTTTGAATTTGCAGTTTTCCTAAAACATTTCATTCCAAATTTTTGACTCACTTTTCACAAATAGAGTTTTGAAGTGAAGAGTGCCAATTTTGGAGTAGGGCACACTGAATTCAGAATTCGGTTCTACAACTTACTACCTTGAAATCTAGCAATTACTTATTCTCTGTGAGCCCCCGTTTCTCAGTTCTGTGAAGTGAAGTCAATAGTGCCCTAATAGAGTTGTAAAGATTATCAGAGAATGACAGATGAACAGTTTTGGCATGTCTTTTCTACTTTCATATTCCCTTTGTTCCACTTTCTTTATCTACCTAAGAAAATAAATGACTTAATATTGTATACTTAATGTAATTTACCTAAAATATTTTTAGAACAAGGCAGATTATATAAATGTTAGCTTCTTGCAACATTGTAGTCTACATAAAATAAAGCAATTAAAACTACTTACAAATACTTTGACATAACTGTTTCTGAAATTAAAGGGATTTGGGCCACTTAACTTTCATTCTTTCTCCCCTTCATCTCAAGTACACAGTACAAAACATGCTTTTTGTATTTTTGTAGATCTGACAGTGATTTTCTTGGGACATTCAGTCTCTTAGGTTAAATGTTTCACTATCATTTAACATCTGCCACAAGACCAGAGCAGTGTACTCATAGAGCTATTTAATACCCCCCCTCCCCCAGTGTTTGAAAAGCTAGACTTTATGTACTGTCAGGCCAATTGAAGACATTTACAAAGACTTAGTTGTTTGTTATTGCTATGTGAGTTCAAGAATGGAAAAAAAAAAGAAATTCTTTCTTCAATACTTCCTTGCAGGCTGAGTCATCACTAGAGAGTGGGAAGGGCAGCAGCAGCAGAAGAAGAAGAAGAAGAAGAAAAAGAAGAAAAAGAATCCAATTCCTAAAACTGATCCTGCAAAGCACCATTTCTCCAAGTTGGGGGCTCAGAGGGGAGCCATCATGAGCGATGTCACCATTGTGAAAGAAGGCTGGGTTCAGAAGAGGGGTAAGTGCTCAGCAGAGCTGGAAGCAGTACGGCTGGGGAGCATGCTGAGAAGTGAGTGGGGTGCTAGAGTTGCTCCTTCCTCTGGCGCTGTTAGACAAGTGGGCTGTGCTGTCTGTTAGCACTGAAACAAGGGTTACCGTGTATGTTAGGAATTCACTTATTTGAGATTTCCTTCTAATTCTTGATTTTTACAGTTTTAAATTATGACATTAGATTTTTACATGCATACATGTTAGTAATGTATTTTTATGCAATGTCCTCAGATTCAACAGACTTTACAGAATTATTTAACATAGAAAAGAACTCATGTCTATATATTGATATATTAATATTTAGATAAAAATACAGCATTGTGTCAATTTGTTTGGTAGCATAAAGACTTAATATAGTAAGGCGAGGGGCTTACATTTAAACTGCTAGATTAAACAGACCCATAAATTAGGTAAATTAAAGTTCTTATATAAAAGTCCAAATGTAGACAGTGATTTTTTTTGTTTAATTTTATATTTTTTGTTTACATGATCTACTTTCACTATATATTTCTTGTCCATTCTTTTTAGATAAAGGCATTTTTTTATTAAATAATTGCTGTAAATAATGTGAGTTATTATTTATAATGTGAGTGACCACCTTCTTAATCTATATGTTTATTGGAGATGTGGACGTTTTTATGGGTGGTGCCTAACATTTATGTGATGTAGCAAACACTGTAGTCCTGAAATAGAACATTTCTATCACTCTGAAAAGTTCTTTTTATGTCGATTTTAGTTCAGTGTTTCTCTTTCAACTTTGGCAATTACCTGGTGTGTTGTCTGTTACTATAATTATGCTTTTCAAAGATTTTAGTTCAGTGGACTGATAAAACCCATAGTCTTTTGTGTCTGGTTCTTTCCTGTTCATACTTCTCTGCTTCATACATGTAGTTTATGTGAAAAGTAGAACTATTTCTAGAAAAACAATTCTTCATTTATTTGTTTATTTTTAACTAATTATCTTTTTGAAACAATCTCACTTTATACCCCAGTTGCAGTTAAATTAATACGTAGTTCAGGTAGTTATTCAACTTGATGATCCTCCTGTCTAGGTCTTTTGGGTACTGGGATTACAGGCGTGGGTTACCACTCCTGGCTTTGCCTTTTTAATATTTGGTAGAAAGTTGGTATGTCTCTGGATATTGTGAATAAAGTTTTTATGAACATTGAATACATGCCTTCTTATGATATGTTTCCATTTGTATTGGGTAATAAACTAGGATAAGATTATAAGTTATATGCTAAGTGCCTGTTTAAATTTATAAAACTGCCAATTTATTTTCCAAAGTAACTGACCATTTGTGTTACATTTGTCTTTTACTTTATTCTCATGTATTTGGAAAGCATTTTTAGATTTTAGTGCTGTGTTGTTTGTTTTCTTTCTTAACTAGTTTATGTTATTTTATTTTTTAAAGGGGAGTGAAGGAGAGGAAATGGCAAGTCACTTAAACCTTTAAAAATTTCCTTTATTAGTTCCTAAAATCTGCTTTTGTAAGATCATTGTAAGACTCAAATGAGATAATGAATCTGGCTCCCTGTATATTCATGTTTGTCTGATGCCTTAGGGTTGTTCTTGAGTCTGTAAAATTGTATCTTTTCTGAAGGTTAGTGTTTAGTTCATAAAATATATAATAGAAAACAAAGAAAATGGTATATAAGAAATTTTGTTATTCATACATTGATCAGAGAAGGTCTTCCTCCCTCTCCCTTCCCCTCTCTCTCCTACTCCCTCTCCTTCCCACTCTCCCCCCACCCCACCCCTGTGTATCTGTCTTTCTGTGTTTATGATCATGCTTATTGAGAACTTTTATTTCTAGATTTGCTTTTTGTAAACTATGTTGAATTCCCAACATTTCCTTCATGGGTTGTACCATCTATAATATTTATTGTATATTGTTAAGGCTTATAGTAGTTAAACTTGTTGAATCTGAAAAGCAATGAATAACATTATGATGATTTAATGCTAGTGATATGATAGTACCCTAAATATAAAAGAGAATTGACACACGTCAGTTCTCAGTAGCATGTCTTCTATAGTTTGCATGATGATTGTTTTTCTGTTTTTCTTGAACTTCTTTTCTTTCTTTTTGATTTTCTTTTCTATTTTGACTTTTCAGACAAGGTCTGACTACATATTCTAGACAGACCTTCAACTTGTGTTTCTCTTACCGTCGTCTCCCAAGTTTGGAATTGTAGATATTGGCCACAATGTGGCTTTCCCCTGAACATTCTGATGACCATGTTTTCCCCATGCTGGTTGAAGGACATATGCCTTATTGATTGTTTAGCTTTTTATTCACAATGTTTGAAGTAATAGTGCACTATTTTCTGGATATGATACCTACAAATACCATGGAATGTAATTCTCCATCGAGTTCCATGCTTTCTTGGCTTTCACGGCATTATTCTTTCGTTTTAGACTCATTTTACACTTTCCTAGAGTATTTCCTGCGCTGATCTTTGTTTTCAGGAGGGATGAGTATGTGTACTTGTCAGTGTAATACTTAAAACTGCCCTTTTGACTTTCATGTCTAATACATTTCTTAGCTGTGTTTATAATTCACTTTTGAATTGCTTTCATTCAGAACTTTGAAAGTTGCATTGTTTTGGTTTTAGTAACCAGTTTTACTGAGGAGAGGTTTGATGCTCGTGAGTTATTTCTTTGTAGGAAACCCATTTTTGTTGTCTGGAACCTGTTAATGCTTCTGTATCTTTGGAATTAAGAAATTATAGGAGGATGAATTGCAGTTTAATTTTGTTTATTATGTTTAAAGTTTTAGTGGACAATTTGAATATGAAAGTTTAGGTCTGTCTTCCTTTCTTTTTTTTAATTGAATATTTTATTTATTTACATTTCAGATGTCATCCCCATTTCCCCTCCCTAAAATCCTCCTATGCCATCCCCCCTCCTCCTTTTTGCTCTTATACCATTTTAATTAAATGCAAATATTAAGGTCAGTTCTAGGTAGAGGGACTAACAATACAATAGATGCAAATAGTCAAAGGAACAAGCAAAGCAATAAACAAAATTCTATGAACACTCTAGTGATCACTGTTTCTAAGGGCTTATCAGGGTGACCAAAATATCTGAGCCAACTTCCCTGTCCTATCCCAAGGTCATTTTCACGTCTGAAGGCTACTTCCTTGTTCTAGCCTAAAATTTAGATTCCTGTCTGAAATTACTTCTTTGTTCTAGCCTAATATTTAGGTTCCTGCCTCAGATTAATTCTTTGTTTTAGCCTAAGATTCAGATTCCTACCTGAAATTACTTTTTTGTTCTAGCCTAATGTCAGATTCCTGCCTGAAACCTACTTCCTTGTCCTTGGCCAATGTCATGTTCCTGCCAAGTAGCCCATTTCCTTGTCCTTGGCCCATGTCAGATTCTTGCCAAGCAGCCCCAAAGGCTCTCTGCCTCTCCCCCTTTTTTATTTCATTAACAAGACTGAGCATGTCTTAGTTTGTTCTGAGAAGAATGCCTTCCTTACCCGTCATGGAATATGCATTATCAGAATTTAAGAGTAAGGAGCCATCTTGAGTATCATGCCAAATACCATTGGATTCATATTAGTTCTAAAATTTACAGTGGTAGACATTATAATTAGGAAAAAGTTTAAAGATACTTGCAGTATATTTGGCATAATTCTAACACCTCTCTACATGTTTTAACTTTATACATAGTGAGCTTATGAATGTCAAGAATGGTGCTCTGCTGAGCATTGATGTGGTTGATACTGCTGATAAAATTACCAATGGCCTGAGGTCAGTATTTCTATTTTGGTCAAGCTTCAAGAATGGCATATATAGCTTGATCATGCTAGCCCTTTTTGTCCTGGGACTACTTTTATTCCTGCCCATCATGTTAAAGTGTGTCTTTAACAACATCAACATGTTCATAGCCAAAGTACATGGCTTGAACCTGAAAATGGACCCCCAGAGAGAGTTATTAAATTAACAGGCTGGCAAGCCAAGGACGGGTAAGATTCTGCACAGATCCTTACCTACCCGTCTTCTTTTCTATAGGTTTTTTTTTTCTATGTCTTTGGTTATTTTTTTCTCTTGCGTATTTCCTAGAGTGTCTAAATTAATCTGAGATGTCAAAAATTTATTTTCCATGTCTTTTTAGGACGGAGGAGAGAAACTTTTTGTTGGACATTTTACTTTTTCTTCCAGTATGTTACTGAATTACATTCGCTGTTACTTTATATTTCTAGGAATTCTTTGTAGTTTATAGTTGCATTTTCTTATAATAGTTTGGAACACTAGATTTTTGGAACACTAAATTTTACTTTGAAGTTTTCCTTTTCTTTTAGTACTTTGGTTAGTTGATTATAGTTCTTTCTGGATGGCGGTTTCTTTAGGTGACTCATGGTACTATTTGTACAGTTATGAGAGGATTGAGTTACTGATATTGCTCTCTCTTTTTTTCCCGCTTTGTCTGTATTATTGACAAATAAGTTTCCTGAGTTAGAATTTGTGATGGTAATTAACTGTACTCTTGAAAGCATTAGTTGAAACACTAGAGTAAATAAATTTTGGCACCCTCTACTATTAGTTGTTTTAGACAATTTCAGTATTGTTTGAATAATAATTTAATGTTTCAGTCAAACATATTTCACAGTGTAAGCTGTCGCTTGGCTTTTCTTTGGGTCCAAGAATTTCTCTTCCCCAAAGCATTTCTTTTTTATCCTGGTCAGATAATTATAACCTTGTCTCTGGTGTATTTGTTTGGCTATATCTGTCTCCTTCACAGTGTGGTTTAAGCATTATTAGGTCAGAGTGTAGAAAGAAGGTATAAAAATTACTTACTCTAATGAGTAAAATATAGAAAGTTAGAATGAAGTTAAAATCGTTGTCAAGAGTTGCTTTGTGGTTGTTCAGTGGTAGAGCTCATCCTCCCACCATTGAAAAAAGCCATAATACAGTTGCTAGTTTGAATATTTGTCTTATTTCTCAAGCCTATACATTTGA